AGCACCAAGTTCCCTGTATAGTTGCTGGTTTTTCACCTACACCACCGCCTCACATCCGGAGACTTTGGATCTCTTATATAGGATGAAGTTAGATTATCAAGGGATTCATTTATGACAGGAAGAATTTTAAAGTCTATTCTCAGTTTAACAGAGAACCAATGAATAGAATCTGAGATTGGAGTAAAATGGTCTCTGTTTTTAATTTTCATCAGAACTCTGGCTGCAGCAGCTTGGATCAACTGAATGCTTTTAACTACAGATCGTGGTTTTTCTTGTTCTTTTGGTCATTATCCTGACTTCATGACTTTAGGTGAGATTAGAAACATAGGCTGAGTGGTAAATCGAGAAGTTTGCTTTTTGGCTCAGTTCCATCTTCACCTCAACAGACCGGTGCATCATCCGCATTATGGGAGCAGCCACACCCACCTGTCAATCAACCTCCTTCTCCGTACTCCTCTCACTCATGAACAGATGCTTTAACCCCTCCCCTTGAGGCGGTTACTCTCCTCCAAACTGAGAGGGACAAGCCACCTTTTTCCTCTAGAGAACCATGGCCTCTGACTTCTTCTTCATTGCCGCTTTGCTCTATCCAACAATGTCCTCAGTCAAGGTCAGCAGCTCCCCACTCCCACTGTGACCACTGTTAGAGAAGCTCTGCTTCCCACTCTAGAGGCACCAGACGGTTTGGTAGAACCACTTTGTGGCAGAATGGTAGTCTTTCCCCAAGGTCTTTCCAAACTCCTCCCAGGTCAAAGTTTCTGCCTGTCACCATCCAGACCCTAGCACACTTTGCCTCATTATACCTGCTTGCTTCCTCAGTTTTCCCACAAGCCAGTCAGGCTCAATAGGACTCTTTCTTCAGCTTGACAGCATCCTTACCGGCAGTGTCCACCACCAGGTTCAAGGGTTGCCGCCCTGACAGGCACCACAGACCCTACGGCCACAGCTATGGGTGGCTGGATCTTCAATAATGGGGCACTTGGACTCTATGTCCTCAGCCTCCCCCAGAATCTGGGAGGAGCTCTCCAGTAGATGGTAGTTGAGGGCTCCACCAGACATTCCCTGCAGAGCCTTACTACACGGGGAAGCCTGCCCAGTCTGTCTGGCTCTTCCAGCGCATCCAGCTCTCCACTAGGTGCTGATTTTGGACAGTTCTACCCCTCCCTTCACCTGGGTGTCCAAGACATGTGGCCAAAGGTCAGAAGATTCGACTACAAAGTTGATCATTGACCTTCAGCCTATGATGGCCAGGTGCCAAGTTCCTTTTGGACACCTTAATGCTTAAACATGGTGTTCATGATGGACAATCCATTACATGTAGAGAAGTCCACTAATGAGAAACCCCCAGGTTCAGAGCAGAGTCCCGTTCCTCCTGAAACAAGTCACCAGTCTGTTCACGAGTGAGTCACTACCACTGCAGTCATCCCAGGCAGTTGAGCTGAGCTGTTGTTTATCTGCATCCAGGCTTTTCTCACATGGTGATCTGTTGATGTCAGTGAGTCTTTCTTTTTATGCGCTGATGCTGCTAATCCTGCAGCGTTTGTTGAAGGTCACAGAAGGCTTTGATGGAAGTACATGTGGAGTGTTTCATCTGCTGAGACAGAGGGAGACACTCTGCCGCTATCCTTACTTTGTTTCACCATCCTTCATGCTGCATACTGTGTCCTCTTCCTCGCTACACTTGCCGTCTCTTTCTGCCTTCCTATTGGCTCTTCTCCCCCCCCTCCCACTAAGTGCACTTCGTTCCTTTGCAGGTTGTGCCGTTCTTGTACCTTTTCAGTGTTCCACCTCGTCAGCAGAGAAGCTGCTCTCTGTCTGTGTGAGGATGGGGATGGCGTTACGTAACCCGCCTAGCTTGGTAAATCCTGCATGCTGACCTGCTGTCTGACCTGTCCAGCTTGAGCAGAAGAGCTTTTTCTTTCAAGGCCTCATTTGTAAAGCATTAGATAAACGTTCCCCTCGCCCAACAGGACAGGATGACGTCAGATTTCTGTTCTAAATCATCGAAGGATCCGCTGGTATTCATCATGGCTGCATCTCCTGCTTTCCTATCAGAGACTTTTTGAAGGTGGAGAACATTCAGACTAAGGACACTAAGTCTGCTCCTTGCAGGAATCGAACCCGCACCGACGGAAACATTTCTTCACAGTTCAGTGGTTATAATCTGGACTTGATGGGATCTTATTTTATCATGTCCTTTTGGAAAAACATGTATTATATGTTCTAAAACAGATTGTGGAGTTCCCATTCAGCCAGAAAAAAAAAAAAACTTTAATGAAAACATTTTTTATATCACATTAAATCTAATTAAATTAATTAGAAGTTATAATTGGAAGTAAATATGGTAGCTAGCAAACATCTGAGGGCTGTTGCAGGAGGCTCCTTATGAGCCACATAGCAGCACCATCCTCATTTTAATGCTTTAAGTTAAGATTATTTTTGTTAACTATTGTTTTAGTGAAGAAATTAAAGCTTTCCTTTTTTCACAGATGATCCATCAAATGTTTTACTGTCAGGATATAGTTACAGTTTTTAAAAATATGTAAAGAAAACATTCCTTCCATGGAAGTTTAGGATATCTGTCATATTTTACATGAACCAAACCTTAAAAAAAAAGTGAATCAGTTTCATCTTCCTCCTCAGTTTCATCTTCCTCCTCATGATCCAGACACACAAACTGAAAGAAGACTGATCATTGAGCTCCAGCCGTGGATCAGGCAGGTTTGGCTGAGCGTCTTTCACCCAGGAACTACTTTAAACCTTTACACACCGAGCTTCAGCTTCATCTGTCTGGATGATTCTTAGAGCCAAAATATAAAAAAATAATAATAATAAAAGGTGGTCCATGAGGCAGACACCCTGTCTACTTTTAAGGCTAGGCTTAAAACTTTCCTTTTTGATAA